AAATTCTTACTTAAGTTGATGAGTTAACAAATTGATGAAATCAACTAAGAATTGCTGACTTATTTCCTAAACTATTATGAATACGTTCAACAAACTGATCAAAACCAACATCATTCGGTATTGTGATGAGAACGATTCTGGGTGGTGGCATCCACAACCGAGAATCACATCGCTGCAACGCACGCTTCTTACAACTCCGCTTTGGTCTCATCTCAACTGGCACATCGTACCATCCCTGTGAGCTTTTTGACTGTTGTTGTAGTTCATCGACTGGTTTATATCCAGCCAACAGCATCTTCTGCAACATTGCAAAAAACTTAGTTGGTTAACAAACACGTTTGCTCTCATCATCAAACCATAACCACACCTGATCACTCATGAGAGGAATAAGTGAGGGGAGAGTGAGCAGGCATCAATTCCTCTGCACTTCCGGAGACTACCGAAAATAAGCTATTGCACTGCAACTCTCACGTTCCCTTCAGCTACTACCAATTCACTACATTTACAGTTTTTCCATTTACCTTTCAAAGTTGTTTCATATCCCCATCCATAACAACTCCTTGTGTTACACTAAACCTTAATATGAAGAGGACAATAAAGAACTACAATTCAACTACGTATTATTCAATCCGCGACTATTTGATCATAAATCAATCACACTTGAATTTTGACTCAGTCTTCGTTTTCATTCGCTATTTCTCACAAAAACTTCGTCGAAGCAGCCGAGTCCGTAACTGGATTCGAGTAAAAGAATCAAACAAAATAAATGAAAGTAATCATTTAAAAACCTTGAGAGTAGAAATGATATGTCGATAAATATTCTCGAAACGAATCAACATCTCACGTTCATTTGCCCAGTCATAACCGATCGCCAGATAAACAACCATCCCACACGGTAAACAATTCAACTCTCGAAGACTATCCAATATATCTCTGAAAATTCACAACTGCTCTCTGTTCGTCTGGTGCATCAGTGAATTGCTCTCGCTTCTTGCAGTCATCATTCGTAGGATAAACAACTCACCGAGATAACAAAAAATCAAAAAAAAAAACTGACAGATAGGCAAATGACAATCAATAAATTAATAAACG